TGAAAATTAGTCTTCAAGTATTTTTCTGCCCAATGCAGCCGTTTCTGCTTGTGAGCATTGGTTAGTGGTGGCCGCATAGAAGGTTTATGCACAGTTGCAAGACTCTGGAGGACTCTACACCTTGATGTCCGTGGGACTCCAGATGCACCAGCAGCTTCAAATATCTGTTTGCTGCTATGTAATGGTATTTTAGCAGCTGCTCTCTTGATCCGATGAATGGATCTGGCAGAAATCTTCCTCAATGTGCCTTTATCTGCACAAACCCATCTGTGCTCTGAATCAGCCACAAATCTCTTAATAGCGCAATGATCACACTTAAGTTTTCATGAAATATCTAATGTTTTCATACCTCGTCCAAGGCATTGAACTATTTCACTCTTTTTGGCAGCAGAGAGATCCTTTTTCTTCCCCATACTGCATGAAATTGGTGCTCTGCTTAGTTATGTGGAACACCCTCTTTTAGTAGTTTTTCCTTAAATTGGGCTCACCTGGCAATCTAATTATCACAGGTGTCAGAGATTGTTTTCAGTGATCAAAAGAGCCCTGAGACACAATGCCATCCATGAGTTAAACTGAAAAACAAAATATTTAATCTTTGTGACACAAATAGAATTTGCATAATAATTTGGAACAGGGTGTAGACCTGTGAGCTTAACTTCTGTGACTGGGAAAATATTTGAAGGGCTATTAAGGGATAATATGCAGAAATTCATTGGGAAGAACTTTATTAGCAATAATCTTCATGTTTTTATGAAACATAGGTCATGTAAAACTAGCCTAATTGCATTCTACGAAGAAGTAAGTAGAAGTATAGATCAGGGTGTTGCAGTGGATGTGATCTACTTGCATTTTGCCAAGGCATTTGATGCAGTTCCTCACAAAAGGTTAGTCTTCAAACTAAAAGAAATTGGTCTAGATTAATATTCTTGTTCTTGGGTAGAATATTGGCTTAAGGATAGAGTACAACGAGTTCTCATTAATGGTAAATTTTCAGGCTGGACAAAAGTGGTAAGTGGTGTTCCTCAGGGTTCTGTTTTGGGACCGCTTCTATTCAACATATTTATAAATGATCTTGAAATAGGCATTGAAAGCCATGTATCAGTGTTTGCAGGTGAGACAAAACTTTGTAAAGAATTAAAATGTGAGCAGGATATTGATTTGCTGCAGAGGAATTTGGATAGATTGGGGGACTGGGCACTAAAATGGCAGATGAAATTTAACGTAGAGAAATGCAAAGTTATGCACTTCGGGGTCAAGAATGCACAAGCAACTTATACCCTAAATGGTAGTGAATTAGGGATAACAACACACAAGAAGGATTTGGGAATTGTTATAGAAAACAAATTAGACAGCAATATGCAATGTCAATCTGCAGTTGCTAAGGCCAGTAAGGTTTTTTCATGTATAAATAAGGGCATAAATTCTCGGGATCATAATATAATTTTGCCTCTTTATAAAATCACTGGTAAAACCACACCTTAAATATGCTGTGCAATTTTGGGCACCTGTTCTAAAGAGAGATATCATGGCACTAGAAAAAGTGCAGAGACGAGCTACAAAATAGATAAAAGGAATGGAGCGTTTTGGTTACGAAAAAAGGTTAAAAAAAATTAAATCTCTTTAGTTTGGAAAACCGGCGCCTGAGAGGGGATATGATAACATTATACAAATATATCAGGGCCAGTACAAACCATTATCTGGAAATCTATCCATAAACAATGCTATACATAGGACACAAGGTCACACATTTAGGCTGGAAGAAAGAAGATTTTATCTAAGGCAAAGAAAAGGTTTCTTTACAGTAAGAGCAATAAGGATATGGAATGCTTTGCCTGAAGAATTCCATATCTAGATATTCCAGATATTCAAACTGCAATTGGATAAATACTTGCAAAAACATAACATACAGGGATATCATTTCTAATTAGTCGGGTAATAGCTGCTTGATCCAACGAGACATCTGACTTATTTTGAGGTCAAGAAGGAATTTTTTCCTAGTTTGTTGCAAACTTGGAAGCGCTTCAGACTAGGTTTTTTGCCTTCTTTTGGATCAACAGCAAAAACATATGCGAGGAAGGCTGAACTTGATGGACTCAAGTCTCTTTTCAGCTATGTAACTATGTAACAATAGATCATAATTTTTACATGTAAAAGCCTGTGGTATTGAGACTTGACTGCGTAGAAAAGGGACACTTTTTTATTTCACTGCAGACAGAGCATGCTTGTTTAGCAGTAGTCACAAGTTCCAACGTGACAAGAAGTCCTCTGGCTCTAGCCCACTCCAGGTTGGCTTTGTTTCCTCAATGTACCACCAACAATTGCTCGGAAATGCTTTAACTTATTCACTTGGTAAAATATCTGCCATTTGTTTAGCATAGTACATGTACGGTTTCAGTATTTATGTTCTGTCTCTGTTTAGTTGTAATGTTTATTTTAATTTGTTATACCTTTTAACAACCTTGTTATACTTTTTATGAAACATTATCTTTGCCAGTTTCTGAGTGATTATTATAGTTGGTGGTTAGCTGCTAGGATATAACTCTGCCAATTCATTCTGTTTGCTTTGCTGTGTTTTTGGGATATAGTAACCCAGCTAGGTAATGTAATTGGGGTTGTATAACACTATATTGTTGTGGGGATACCGGTCATAGGAATTCCCCAAATTTACTCTCGAACACCCAAAAAGCACTTTTGGAAGCAAACACATTATTTGGTGTAGTGAACCGAAACACTTAGAGCAGTGGCGTACACATGACCCATGGGGCCCCGGTGCGAAAATTGATCCGTGGGCCCCCCCCCCGCGCGGGCCGGGCCGCAACACATGGCGGTGGGCACCTGGTCGCAGGGGTTACAGGGCTGCGACCCCTGCGACCGCGGTATGTACGCCAGTGCATGCAGATGCACACACACTTAAAGGACCACTCTAGGCACCCAGACCACTTCAGCTTAATGAAGTGGTCTGGGTGCCAGGTCGTGCTAGGGTTAACACATTTTTTCATAAACATAGCAGTTTCAGAGAAACTGCTGTGTTTATGAATGGGTTAAGCCTTCCCCTATTTCCTCTAGTGGCTGTCCCATTGACAGCCGCTAGAGGCGCTTGCGTGCTTCTCACTGTGATTTTCACAGTGAGAGCACGCCAGCGTCCATAGGAAAGCATTATGAATGCTTTCCTATGTGACCGGCTGAATGCGTGCACAGCTCTTGCCGTGCGTGCGCATACAGCCGACGGGGAGGAGAAGAGGAGGATCGGAGGAGGAGAGCTCTCCGCCCAGCGGTGGAAAAAGGTAAGTTTTACCCCTTTCCAGAGCTGGGCGGGAGGGGGTCCCTGAGGGTGGGGGCACCCTCAGGGCACTATAGTGCCAGGAAAACGAGTATGTTTTCCTGGCACTATAGTGGTCCTTTAAAGGACCACTACAGACACCCAGATCACATCAGCTCAATGAAGTTGTCTGGTGTCAGGTCCCTCTAGTTTTAACCCTGCAGCTGAAAACATAGCAGTTTCAGAGAAACTGCTATGTTTCACTGAGGGTTAATCCAGCCTCTAGTGGCTGTCTCACGGACAGCCGCTAGAGGAGCACACTGAACGTCCATAGGAAAGCATTGAGTAATGCTTTCCTATGAGCGGTTTGAATGCGTGCGCGGTCGCATTCGGAGCTGAGAGGCTGACGGATCCTCAGCACCAAGGGAGTCCGGCGCTGGAGAAAGGTAAGTGCTGAAGACACACACTCTCACTTACAGACGCATACACACTAGCTAACAGACACACACATTTACTGACAGAGATACAGTCAGCGACAGACAGACATACACACTCACTTACAAAACATACACTCTCATTGACAAACACACACTCACTAACAGACATCAAACAGACTCACTAACACACACACACACTCAGTAAGACACACACAGTAGCACACTCACTAGCAGACACACACACTAACACTCACACTCACACTAACACTCACTCTAACACTCACACACACTAACACTCACACACACTAACACTCACACACACTAACACTCACACTAACACTCACACACACTAACACACACACTAACACTCACTCTAACACTCACACACACTAACACTCACTCTAACACTCACACTAACACTCACACACAGTAACACTCACTCTAACACTCACACACACACACACACACACACTAACACATGATTTTTTTTTTTTTAATATAATCCCCCCAGCCTCCTTACCTCTTGGAGTGCTGGGGGGATTCCCTGGGGTCCAGTGGTGCTGCTGCTGGGCTCCTGGGCGGGTGGCCGGTCGGGCAGGCGGGCGCGCGAGGGAGCACTCAGTGCTTCCTCTTCAGCTTCCTCGCGCGCCGCGTAGGGATGCCGGCGCCGGAAGATGACGTCATCTTCCGGCTCCGGTATCAGTGCAGTGCGCGAGGGAGCTGAAGAGGAAGCACTGAGTGCTCCCTCGCGCGCCCGCCTGCCCGACCAGCCACCCGGGGTCAGCGGGGCCAGCCTCAGGGGGGCCCTGGGGTGGTCGGCTCCTGGGCCCCCCAGGGGAAGAGGCTGGCCCTGGGCGTATATACCGGGTCGCAGGGGCGGCCGGGCCCCCTGGTGGGCCGGGCCCGGTCGCAGTCGCGACCCCTGCGACCCTGGTATGTACGCCAGTGACTTAGAGTAAAGGAACTCCTCTCCTACACAGTATACGCATAGAAACTTCCTTCCTACCCCATCAGCATTTTGCTGAAGTCCAGACATACTGGCACCAGAGGTGTGTATGTGCTCAGCACTCTGGTTCTTGTTCTCACTATCACTGCAGACTCCAACTGAAGAAGCTCAGGCTGCTAGGCAAATAGTCAAAGAATAAATGTCAATCCTAAATATATCATATATTCTATGGTAAAAAAAGGGATTTATTATTTATAGTGTAAATAGTGTGTAAATATAATTTGAATTACAGCTTAAGGGTGTCTTACATTCTCTATAGAAGGCGTTTTGTTTTCTTTTCAGTGAATATAACACCAACTGGTTTGTACAACATAGATAATTTTTATTATTATTGTGTTCAGTAAGTTGGTATATTAGCATGAATCACAGTTACAAGATTCTCCGGTGTGACATGGTTACAGAAGCATCAAATACAATGCAGGGAAAGACCATGGATGCATTAATACCTTAGTTCTTGGGTGTTTTGTGACAGCCAGTTGCCTAATATATAGGATCGTCAGTAATAGGCATTGGCAATTTTGTTTTTTTAAATGAACCATTTGGTAGGAATAATAGTGTCCCGATTGTGGAAAGCTATTCATAGTTGGATCCACCATAGAAGCATTTGATCAGTAGGTGTGATCAAGTCATATATGTAGGACTAAACAGGAGAGTGCAAGAGGAGTTGGTTGCTGCCTTCGTTCAGGGGGCCACAGAGGGGAGAATCACCATAGTGTGTTCTTGATGCGGTTACTGTTAATGATCAGCGTGCGTCCTGTTGTCTGTCAAGGAAGCCAGGGTTCCCATATTGACATAGAGAGGGAGGATTTGTTGTATAGTGATGCATGTACTTGTATATGTGGAGACCCGTGATTGTATTAATCATGGTCACTACTCTCTTCCAATATGTTTGGATGGTCAGGCAACTCCACTACATGTGGGCTGAGGTGACTCCTGTCTGAGTACATCTCCAGCACTTGTCCAGAAAGGGAGAGAATGGCTGTGAAGTTTGCTCGGGAAGTAGTGCCACCTAGAAAATCTCTTATAATTGCTTTCTTGTATGTTTTTGCTGATAGAGGATGTTTATGCATATGTGAAGATCCTCTGCCAGTTTCTTAATGTAAGTATAATGTTTAGCTCTTGAGCCCAAGACGGTGTGAATGCAGGTAGATTATCTCTTGGGTTAATTTGTAGGAGACAACAAAAGGTGGATAAGTGTTTGTTCAAGAGTTTGTATGTATTGCAATGTGTTTCAAATGTGAGTGGGTAAGGTCCTTGTAATAGGTGCGGTTCAGCTTTCAGAAAGTTTGATAACTGAGCGTAGGGCAGAGGGTCGTTTAGATTGTGTCAGCTTGGAGTGGAGCTACTACATTGTTGTCTAGGACTGAGCCAAGCTTAATGTATCTTGTGCCTTGAATAGTGTGGAAAGTCATTGTGTAGCCCTGAAGGGAAGGAGTCATTGTGTAGCCCTGGAGGGAAGAAGAGGTTGTATTGCAGTTGGTATAAGGGTGATGCGTGTGGGGAAATTAATCGTAGTTCTCTTAGATGGGGCCATATGCGTATTGTTGGGTCTATAGTGGGGTGATGGGAGACAGAGGGGAGATGGAGTGCATGTCCAGAGCGATGCCATGGAGTAGTGGGGCTTTGAACATGGGTCAGTCTAGGAATGCCCATTGTTTAAAAGGGGGCATTGCAGTTTAATCGTAGATTCTAGTTAGCATGGTTGCTTTATAGTATTGTTCTAGGTGTGGTAGACCCAGTCCTCCCTGTTTGTGTCTTACCAAAACATTATAGGATATTCTAGGGTGGTTGCTGGCCCATATGAAGGTAGTTAACAGTTGTTTAAGTTTAGAAAAGAATGTTTTGGGGATTGCAATCAGGAGGTGTAGAATTTTGGGTAGGATGTTCATCTCTAGGATATTAACTCTACATAGCCAGCTGAAATAAGGCTTCTGACATTTCGTAAGGTCTTTGGAGATTTCACTGAGAAGTGGTAAAAAGTTTAGGTCATATGTTTGTATTGGTCTATGGCAGGGGTCCTCAAACTCCGGCCCCCCAGATGTCGCTGAGCTACAACTCCCATGATTCTCAGGCTATGTAATTCAAAGAATCATGGGAGTTGTAGTTCAGCAACATCTGAGGGGCCGAAGTTTGAGGACCCCTTGGTCTATGGCGTAGATGGAATCCTAGGTGGGTGATTGCCTGGTCGGCCTAGACGAAAGGGTATAAAGATTTTAGTTGTGTTTGTGTGGTGTCGTCAAGACGTAAGGGCAGTTTTTCACTTTTTGTGAAATATACTTGAAAGGTAGAGATTCTACTATAGGTAGAGATTTCCTCCAAGAGAAAGGGCACGGAAGTCGTTGGTTCTGTTATAGTGAAGAGGAGGTCATCTGCAAAAGCAGAAATTTTGAATTCCCGGTATTGTACTTGGAAGTCGTGTATGTTGGGTTGGTCCCTGATAACCTGCAGAAAAGGTTCTACAATTAAGATGCATAGGAGCCATTCCTAATGTGTACTGGGTCAGACAGCTGTCCATTTATCAGTTTAGTGGTGAGTGAGGAGTATATAGCATGCATCCATTTCAACCAGTTTGGACCGAATCCAAAAGCCCGGAGAGTCACGGTCAACATAGTCCAATCTACCCTGTCGAACGCCTTTTCAGCGTGTCTGCCTGTCTGTGAAATATACATTGTTAAGTAGTTTGGTGTAGAGTTTGGAGATCTATATTGTAGCGGGCACCGCCACTAAGTGCCATGCCCACGGAATACACAGATGTTTTGGCCTTATTTTGTGTTCCCAATGTTTATTCTCACGATTTTCCCTTGTACTCTGTGTTTCCCCATGTATCTATATGTAATTGTGTTGTATTCGTGTGTTTTACTTGCTCCCCGTTTGGGAGAGCTAATACGAACGAGGTGTGAAAACCGCAAGGGAAACAAGCGGCTCGTGCTTACCCTGGCTGGCTGCCTGTTCATATAACCAAACGCCAAGCAGGGGCAGCACTTGTATACCGAACCGGCATACGCAGTCTGTCTCAGGTCCCCGTGTCGGGGATCACCCTACCCGCTCCCAAGAGAGCTATGGTCACTGTTTCCCCCTGCCTGGGAGCTACGAGGCTAGGCTCGTAGCTGCCCAAGAGAGTGCTCTCTCCGGTGGATACTTACGGGGGATATCCACCGCAGAAAAGAACGCACACCAGCAGGGTATCTCTATGGAAGTCTGTGTGGACCAATGGGAGAGGGCGCACCCATTCAAACTGGGTTCGCGCCATTCTCCTGATTGGTCGGCACAAACACTGGACGTTGATTGGTCGCTGCGGGACGTAGGCGACCAATCAGGGCGAGATCACGCTTTCAAACGGGGTTTCGCGCCCTTTCTGATTGGGCAGCAAAACCCCTCTAGTCTCCGAGCGCCAATTGGTGTAACAGATTTCTGCGCACTTTTGCCTGATTGGGCAGCGACACTCCTCTCCTCCCTGCGAGCTGCTTGGGGCAATTTGGTTTCGCGCCTTTCAGCTGATTGGTTGTTGCTTGGTTTAGGTGCTTTGATTTCGATTTAATTCGCCAGACTAATCCAAGCAACTTCATGGAACTAATTTCAGGGATGTACAGAGGCACGAGCCCCGGGTTTTAGACGACAATTTCTCGGGCTCTGAATAACCGATAGCCCCGCTATGTGCAGGGATCCTAGTAGGGCTATCTAGCAAAGTATGTGTCAACCCTGTAACCCCTTCCCTTCCTGGGGCGCTGAGCCCCAAAGTTTACCCCCTTTGGATATAACGCGTTTTAATGTGTGTCCCTGTGTACTGTTGGTATCTCCCAGAGCAGGAGATGGCTATCTGTAACCCAACCCCTTCCTGCCTGGGATTGTGTTGAGTTGAATGGAGACCCCCTCTGTGCATAAAAGAAGCCCGTTTTCAATAAAGATGGCCAGTGTTTTAACCTCCAGAACTGTGTCTTGTCTGGTTACTGGAGAGAGGAAATATTTAACCCCTGTGTCTGCCATTCCAGCTTGCAGGGGATGCAAAGTCCTTGTAAAGACTAAGAGCTTCCAGGACTGAGTGCCCTGGGAGCGCATGGAGCTAAGTCCCCTAACCCTGTAAGAGTTCCTGATCGGCTGAAGGAAGGGAACTAGTGGAGGTAACGGTCGGGTTACCAGGTGTCCCACTACATATATCAATTATATCTGGTGATAATTTCCACATAAAGTTGGGTCTTTTCCCGGTTTGGGTATAAAGGCAATGTGGGCCTCTAGAGAAGCTTGGGGAAGGCTTGTGGAGTGAGTGAGGGAGTTTAAGGTGTTCAGAAAGGGTTCTGAGAGTGTTGGTAGGAATGTTTTGTAGTATTTATCTGTGAATACATCAGGACTAGGGCTTTTACCTAGAGGAATTTTTTTATTTTTTTTAACTGCTAGGTACAATTTGTCCTGTGTGATGGGGCATCAAAGGCTAGTATACTGTTGGGTGGAATGGTATTTTTTACTCTAGTGGAGAGAAATTGTTCAATTTATGTTTATGAAACAGGAATTGAACAATTTCTCTCTCCAAGATGTCCATGAGTTTATGGGAAATTTATCCAGATTGATTTTTAATTTTGGATATGAAGATGGTTTGTTTGTTGTGTTGCAATGCATTAGCTAGTAGTTGCCCACATTTACCCCCTTGGTTGGGACTATGGTAATCGTGTTATCAGGGTTAATTTGTGAGATGTCAGTAGCGGGAAACTCTCACTTTGATGGCCGTGAGTCGTACGTTCACAAATCCATGTGAATAGTATGGGTGGATACTGGCTGGGGTAATCGCCTGCAATTGGGACCAATATGGTACAATTGTGTATTGATGCTTGACAGGAAGTACAAGGAGGAGAATGGGGTGGACTGATTGTGAATCTATACTGTAATTAGAAGTTGTCTAGGGAATACTTGAATAATATTGGATTTTTTTTATAATTTGGGAGTGATAAATTATTCAAGTGGTAGGGAGCAGGTATAGGGATTCATGTATATGATGGTGACTAAGCGGGTGGGGGTTGGGAGAGCAGTGTACAAGAGAGGCTAAGTTTGGACACCCGGGGAAATATTTAGTCTTGCTAATAACATTTTGTTTTGTTGACTCACTCAGGTGATAGAGAGGAGGTGGTACAGGAGTTCTTGGATGTAATAGATCCCATAGGTATAGGGGAGGGAAAAGGAAATGAGGGTAATGAAGATTTGGTTACGCTCATATCTGAGCATTAGCAACCAGAAAAACGTTTGGTAGTTTTTTTTTTAGTTTTTTTTTACCTGAGGTGGTGTGATAGGTGGTCGGGGGATGTGGAACTCCAGAGGTGGAAAGGAGAAAATGGAGAGGGAGAGGGGTGCAGAGAGAGGGAGGTAGGAGGATCAAGAGTGTTTTGGGAAGATTAGAGCAGCAAGAGGGTAATATATTTTTTTATAAAGTCACCAGTCCATGTTTGCTTGGTTGGTATTTTCCGTTAGAGGTGGTCATCTTCAGCGTGAGTCGATTAGCACGATGCAGTGTCAGGACAGTCCTTGTTCTGTAGTAGGAAAGTCATGCTATAGTACCAATATCAAGGAGAGCATTAGGTCTGTATATGATGTAGGTTTCACAGGGTCGCCAGCATGCACAGTTCACTGTTTCGTTGGGTCAGTGGGGATGCTTCTTTTTTTGGGGGGTGTGCTGCCAGCATAGGTATTAGAAAAGCTAAGAGATAGCTGGGACCTGCAAAGGGCCATACCAATCTGGTACGTAGATCATCTGGCAGCTTGAGAGTTTTAAGGAATGGTAGGACATCTTTGATCGAGTTTATGGTAAGGAGGGCACCTTTGTACGTAACACTAAGGGCCAAGGAAAAGCCCCACCGGTACCTTAATCCTCTGGAATGAAGTTGATTAGTGATGGACCTTATAATGCAGCAGGCCTGTAGCGTCATCCAGGATAAGTCCGGGTAAATGGTGATCGGTGTGGTGTGGAATAGGAGAGGTTGACTAGATTGCCGTAGGGCCGCAAGAATGCTCTCCTTACAGGAGTAATAATGTAGACGTGTGTCAGGGTGTGTCAGCTTGATCTCCTTCAGGGAGTAGCACTCTGTGGGCCCTGTCAAAATTGATAGGAGCAATGAGAGATTTACCCAGGATAAGATTGAAGAGTTCCTGGAGGATGATTGGGAAATTTTTTTGGCCATTCTCAGTGAGACCTTTAACCCGAAGGTTGTGCCATCCTCTATTGTCTAGAGATCTCTGCATAGCTGATAGGTGAGTGGAGTAGGCAGATACTGAGTCTTGGATGGATTGTACCTGTATATGAAGTGTGTCCATGTTGTCTTTGAGCACACTACCTCTATCCCCCATGTGACGAATGTCAAGAGTCCATGAAGTCCAATTTGGGCTGGAACGAGGGTAATGAGGGTAAGCTGTGGAGGATGTCTCTTATCTCCTGATCAGTAGGAGGATTTGATCCCTCTGGTCTCGATGGCGGCAAGCTGAAGTGTGGTGAATAATTGCAGAACTATTAAGTTAGATAGTTAGTGTGCCAGATTTCCCTGCCGGAGTCTTATTCGAAGGTTGGCTGGAGTTAGTGGATCTTTTGGGGTGACCCATCTTATATAGTTTTTGCCCAATGTCTTTGGAATCTGTGCATTTATCAGACTGAGCATATTAGGATGTGTCCATGCAGCTCTGAGGTCGGCTCTGCCCCTCTATACAATTTGTACTACTCCCATGTTTATCCATTAAAGCCTCAAAAAAACCTTAGAATTGACTATAACAGTTCCCATATTCAGAACATCACAAAACTTCTCTTTTGTGCGAATTCTCAGATAGCTATGATGTGATTGCTGGTTAAAATATATCCCACATTCATGTTCTGAACGGTTACTCTCCTGTGAGTTTCCAGATGCTTCAGAAGAACGGATTTTTCACCAAAACATTTCCCGCATTCAGAACACGAGAAAGGTTTTTCTCCGGTGTGAGTCCTCCTATGAACAACAAGATTTGATTTTTTTACAAAACATTTCCCACAATCAGTACATGAGAACGGTTTTTCTCCTGTGTGAATTCTTTTGTGCACTATAAGATTTGCACTCGCACTAAAACGTTTCCCACATTCAGAACAAGAGAAAGGTTTTTCTCCTGTGTGAGTTCTATGATGCTTAACAAGAGCTGACTTATCGACAAAACATTTACCGCATCCAGAACATGAGTAAGGTTTTTCTCCTGTGTGAGTTCTCTGATGTTTCACAAGATTTGATTTACTGACAAAAGTTTTCCCACATTCAGAACACGAGAAACATTTTCCTCCTAAGTGAGATTTCTGATGCTTCACAAAAAACGATTTATGGACAAAACATTTCCCACATTCAGAACATGAGAAAGGTCTCTGTCCTGAGTGAGTTTTTTCATGTTTAATAAGATACGATTTATGGACAAAACATTTTCCACATTCAGAACAAGAGAAAGGCTTTTCTCCCGTGTGAATTCTATGATGCTTCACAAGATCTGATTTCTCACCAAAACATTTCCCACATTCAGAACACGAGAAAGGTCTCTGTCCTGAGTGAGTTTTTTCATGTTTAATAAGATATGATTTAATGACAAAACATTTTCCACATTCAGAACAGGAGAAAGGTTTTTCCCCTGTGTGAGTTTTCTGATGTCTCACAAGAACTGCTTTACTGCTAAAACATTTTCCACATTCAGAACATGAGAATGGTTTTTCTCCTGTGTGAGTTTTCTGATGTCTCACAAGAACTGTTTTACTGCTAAAACATTTTCCACATTCAGGACATGAGAATGGTTTTATTTCTTTGTCTGCCAACTCATTTGTAGACATATAGGATGCTGAGGGATTCATATTTTTTTGAGAGCTGGAGTCCTTTATCCTTTTATTAAAAGACAGTCTTGCTTAGTGTATTTCTATTCTTTTCTTGAGCTTTGGGATAACTTCTGCTGACTGAACAACCTGTAACAAAAAGTAATAGGAGTTAAAGAAAATCTGAAACTATAAATTATTGTTTACCATATTTAAAAAAAACTGATAATCTTATCATTGATGATCAGAAATGTGACTATGAAGCAAAATGGTGATTAAGAATGACCTTAAAATATCTTGTGTGCTTTAATGCAAATTGTGTATGTGACGAAGTGCCCTTCGCCACTTGGTCCTGGAGAGGCCTACTTGCCAGCCTCCTCCCCTGTGACTATGACTCTTTCATGTATCTGGCTTTAAAGCCCCTAGTCTACCTTCAGACAGACTATTTATGTAGGCTGCTTTATTTATCTTATGTTTTAGTCACCCTGTACCCATTATAGGTGCAGGGTGTGTGTAATGTAATTGTTTATAGTGTGTATGTACTGTGTAATGTATTGCCTGCTCTCTTGTATTGCTGAGGTTTGCTACCAACTAGGTGGGTTTGGCTATGGAGCTTGTCTAGTGCCCTCTGTTGGTAGCAACAGCAATATGCACTACCTGATTTGCAAGACTGGTTCATTTGCATATTCGGGTAGATTTGCATATTGCTAATTCTGCAGGCAGGTGAGATATTTACTGTTAAATATTGTCTCCCCCCACCCCTTTAAAAATGTGCCATTGTGTTGTGATAAGTCACTGTGTGTTGCTTAATATGGTTTGACTGTTTGTGATTTTATTGAGGTTTCACAACAATGTTATTGTGGTGACCCTATTGGCTGGTCCCAAGGGAAATAAAGGTTTTGACAGTTCTTCTTGATCCCTCTAAACGTAGCCTTGTCTCGTTATTGGAGGGAGCTGTTATAATCACACTGGGGATTGCTATGCTCTGCATGCTCCCCTGAGCTTGAGTCACTTAGCTCTTTTAAGAGCTTGTGCCTGACACGCTCTCCTTGGAGGAGGGGTCTTCACCACACAGTCCTGGAGGACAGAAGCTGATCCAGGGTGGAAGGAAGACGGCGAGACTCCAGTCAAGATACGGCGGTTGTGGAGTCTGCGGTGGTTGTGGTGTCTGCTGCAGCGCTTGGGAGTCCTCAGGAAGCGCTAGGAGCATCCATCAACATAGGGTACTCAGTCGGAGTACAAGGAGCTCCGTTACAGTGTATATATGCTTTTACTTGCAATTTCTTTGCATAATGATATTTAGTCTTTACAGAGCCTCACATATCTACATGTATACTTTAGGAATGATTAAACAATTCCTTTTTTGGAAACACCGTTTCAAATGGCAAGGAACTTTGTCATGAAGCTCAGAGGGCGGAGCATCAGAGAAACCACGGATGTCCAAGTAAACTGTTCTGATAACCCTACAATAAATGCAGCATTTTGGCTGGTCCAAATGAAGGATTTTTCCGACTATTCCTTAACAGAAAAGCAGCAATAATGCAAATGATTAATGAAATAAGATTTTCCCAAATCCAGCTATCAGTGAAATAAGTGGATTGTCTGAACTTTGGGAGTGGTCTATCTGTCCGAAGGTCTTATGAATAGATCGGACAATCATTGATAAATTCAAATGCAACAATATATTGTTTTATGCATATTTCGCTTTATTTTAAAAATTTATTTAGTGGTTTATTTTCCCAAAAATTGATGGGCCTAAATGAAAATAGAAAAAAAAAGGAAAAACAAACCACTCATATCATTTGATTGGGTGCTGCTGAACACTAAGTAATAATTGCTACCCTAATAATTGATAAAAATTCTGGTCTTTTTTTAAATAATCAGGGCCTTACTGTACTTTTAGTCTTTTACATATTCATTAATTTACCTTTTTTAATTTGACTTGTTAAAATGTTAGTATTTTTTGTTATTAGTTAATATTTATTAAAATCTTACAATAATGTACTTATATTTTTTCTACTGCAATTCCAAATTAGGCAAAATCAGACTATCACAGCACAGGTTGAAATGGGTAAAACCCTACATATTGATACTGAAACTAAAAGTTGGGGAAAGGCCCTTGTTGCAGACCCAGGGTAACCCGGCTGGTTACCTCCGCTATTAATGCATTAAGAGACCCATTTCCCCCCCAGTAACTGGACGACACACAGTTCCAGGGGTACAACAATTTAATTGGCCACATTCGGCTTTATCCACCATGCAAGGGGTGGATCACACATGAAGACAATGTCCCCCTCCCAGGGGCCCTGTAACAGAACCGGAACCCCAATCCCTTTGTCCCCTGTACCCACCACTCAGTGTCCCCTCCCAGGGCCCTCCAATTCCAAGGGGTCCGCTGACAGAAACGGAACTTCAGTCCCATTGTCCCCTGTTCCTGCCACTTAGTGCCTAGGACCCTCCCAGAAGTCTCTGTATCTGGTAGGGTCGTAGTGCGGAAAACTTTCCGCATCTTTACCGCCCAGCGACAGAGAGCCCGTCAACCTCCGCCATTGTCCCCAAAAGATGTCCCCACCAAGGACCCCCAGAACGGTAACCGTCACGAACAGCACTGCTCGCGGGGTCCCTGTGTGAAACCCAGCAAGGGAAGTGTCTCCTTTCGGGACGCAAATGCTCCCCCTGGCCGGCGCCCGTCTGTACGAACGGCGCCCACCCAGAGGAGCACTCTTTAATTATTCCCTTGCGGTTTCACACTATGTTGCGAGTTCTAATGTTCTAATTGATTGGTGAGAACATTCCAATGGGTGCCGGGGAGATCCTCGTTTGGGAACCGAACGAGGTGGGAAGCAATCCACGAATGCTTTCCCTGGGTGGCGTTCGTCAAGCAAATGGCTGCCACCCAGGGGAGGAACGCGCCGAAGCTTCCCGTGTGCTTTGTGGTTTTGACACCTCGTTATGTGGTGTGAACGTTGTCAGGGTATTTATATCGGCAGACATCCTGTGCTATGATAGAAATTAAAAGTGTATATGCTGAGTCACTTTTGAACAGAGCAGACTCCATTTTGTTATTTTCAAGCTAACAAAAGACACAAGATTTCTATATGTAAAACTAACCACTTTCCCAGAGCTAAAGGAATGCATAGTATATACAAACCAAGTGATAACGGGGGTTGGACAGACTGTCTAAATGCTAATGGAATATAATCAATTCTAAACCCAGACATTTGTGACAGAGAAGATTAAATAATTTAATTTTACTTTCTAAATTTTATAAGGTAGCATTGTACGGAAAAGGTGAAACTTAGTTTACGAACGGTCATATCAGAAATTATAGCAGGAATTGCGGACACTAAGTCTGGACAAAACTAAGAGAAAACCCTTTGAAGTGACAGCAAATCTAAGTTATGGTGGTCATTTTAGATAAGCCAAATGACGTCAAAATCGTCATCAGGAAAAGTTAACTCTTTCCTGGATAGGAAGGTTTCGTTAGACGAGATTGCCATCTATGGATCAAATACCTAAATTGCGATCCTTAGAGTGACCACACCTACGGCTTCCTATTGGGTTATCAACTAATGACGTACAGAGAGTCTGGCCCTTTAAAAGTTAAGACAAAGAGAGGAGAGGAGAGGAGGAATTGGAAGTTTGGGGACTCCAACTCGGACATGCAGAGAAACCGAGGACAACATCTGAGACTAACACTCAACTCACAAACTCTTTGACACTTTCTAACCAACACTACTTTTCACTATTACCCACGCACCTCCATGCAGAGAGACATCCATATAAGTTCCTGAGACTATCTACCAATCGGATGAAATATCTACTCAACTGGTAATTATACTGGTTTCATTTAATTATTTAAATTAATTAAAATTTACTAATAGCATGATATATGACTGGAAAAATCACGGTCAGATTTCCATATTAAGGAATCTTAGTTAACTAAAGAATATATAGTTATAACCATTCCATTCTGCAGGTGGAATTAAGAATAATTATATATTAATGTGATATTATCACGTGTTAGCATACCGCTGTTTTTATCCAGGTGTATTGATTTGCTCTAAATTAAGATAAGATATCTTTTAGACAAATTAAACTCTGCTTATATAACATGGTAGATTCTCTTATTGGATGGTTCCAGGAAATGACGAATGAACTGGTTTAAATGTTATTTTATTTAAAATTACATAAGAATAGATCTTAAGTACCTAGGAAGTCTAGCCAGCATTGAAAGGGTTATTCAGTTGATTTAATTGTTAGCCAGGGTTTTATGGCCCTTCGCTGTGAAAAGCTTCGCTTTCTGTGTTTGTAAGGATACCTCATAAATCGTGTAAGTCTTGACAGGAAATGCTGTTTAGCCATTGAAACGTGTATACCCATTCCATTGTATTGCATATCATTTTATACTGGATATTCATTGATTATTGTCACGCATGTTACATATTATTGTTAATTAATTGTTATTATAAAATAAAATCTATTTTTATAACATATTGTGATTTTATCTATATGAAATACATTTCACTTAACACGATAACGATCTTTGGGATCTGAGAATTGAATTAGTGGGCAATTCTCACTGTTTACTATTATTATCCCCACAACGTTCTGTATCAATATTCTAAATTGGGTTACGTGGTGGTCCCTGTTCGGGAGGTGAATGGAGTCCTTTCGTCACGGCACTCCCGAATGGGGAGCAGGCAGCTCAGACGAACACAGAGTGAAATACATGGCTAAGATAGGAAAAATACACGAAAGGGATGTTTAGAAACATAGAAAGTGACGGCAGATAAGAACCATTCGGTCCATCTAGTCTGCCCAATTTTTAAAATACTTTCATTAGTCCATGGCCTTATCTTATAGTTGGGTTAGCCTTATGCCTATCCCACGCATGCTTAAACTCCTTAGCCTTATGCCTTTCCCACGCATGCTTAAACTCCTTCACTGTGTTAACCTCTACCACTTCAGCTGGAAGGCTATTCCATGCATCCACTACCCTCTCAGTAAAGTAATACTTCCTGATATTTTTAAACCTTTGTCCCTCTAATTTAAGACTATGTCCTCTTGTTGTGGTAGTTTTTCTTCTTTTAAATATAGTCTCCTCCTTTACTGTGTTGATTCCCTTTATATATTTAAATGTTTCTATCATAT